TCCGCTTTCTCTTAGCCAACCTACGGAGTAACCGTTCAGTACTGGTTGTCCAGTAACTTGCAAGCAAAAAGATGGACATCAGTAAGAACTGCTTCTTCGAAAAAGAATTATTGGAAAAAAATAGATGTCGAATACACTATCGTGCCATAGTGTCCAGGTGGATATGGTAGGAAAGAGCGAGCTAGATACGCCAGAAACTCGTTTCGGCAAAAACAAATGTAAGTAGCTGTCACCACAGGCGCACATATCGTGGGGGCAATGGTGGAGGTCGAGATTGCGACAGTCGAATTCTCATGGTCATGAACCCCATTTAAGTCCCTCTTTTACTCAGACAGCTCAGTTCACGATCTACGCGAACTTTTTGCAAATGAGTGCGCACAGTCTACACATTTGGCGAGATAAAGACACTACAAAAGAGAACATTAGTGAGAAGAGGGGTCGTGCGGGCGGTACTCGGTTAAATGTGCCGAAAACCTTTTGAAGCAAATGAGTCAGAAATTTAACTAGTTCATTCGCGTTACTGGAGGAATAAAATCTTGAAAAAACACATTCTCAAAGTATGGCAAAAAAGGCCACAGGTTATGGAGAAACAGGAGCGAAGTGAACTGAGACAGTTTAACGAACATAAATTTTGCAACACAGGAACAAAAAGCCCAGTTAAATTCCGAAAACTTGTTCAAACAAGAGGCATTCAAGACGTTGAGGGGTGGTAATCAATGAACGTAAGGCAAAGTGGCAGAAACCGGATAAGAACTTTAAAACAACACTAAGCTCGTGGCAGTGCCAAGAAAGAAGGAGGAAAAGTATGACACAAAATTCTCCAGGCTCGTTGAACGAAAATTAATGATAATAATAATAAATAATGATACTGCCTCCCACAGAAGCTGCATATTCAACACAAAAATGAAATTCATCTGAGGTTACAATGGTCAATGTAAACGCCGATAGATCAGGCCATCACGTGGTCGCTCAAAATCATCAGGCGATTAAGCAACTAGGCATTACTGAGAAAACAGTGTGACAGGAGACTTACCTGTCGGTCATAGATTCTTCGTTCCATGGTGTTGTCCGAAACAAGTCTATAGATGTAGCACTGTTTGACTTGGCCGTATCGATAGACGCGACAGACCGCCTGACAATCGTGACAGGGATTCCAGGAGGCGTCAAAAACGACGACGCGGTTTGCACCCACAAGATTCACGCCAAGAGATCCAGCTCTGAAGGAAAAGACGCATAAGTACAAAGCGGACGGGGAAGGGATGGCTATCGTTAAGTTTGGGATATGACCTAAGCCACCTTGGATGTTTACCAGCATACAAAATGGGATGACCAAAACATGGGGTTCTATAAACCGGAAAGAAGAAGGCCCTTCGATTGCCGGAAGCATCTTTTTATTCATTTGAGCTTTCGAACCCTTACTGAGGTCATTCGCCATAGATAAAAGAGGCAAAAAACAGGTTACAGTTAAAGGGGGCAGGGACCAACTCAAGATCAGCAACGGCATTCCTGAGGTGACTTCGCAGGGCTCTGTCTGCCGGCGCCAGATCGATATATCGGTTAACTGAGTTCTAGTAGGGAGCCACGGCCTCAATTAATTCGTGGCTTGTCTTGCTTCAGGGATGGGCGACTACCGTCATGGCTGCGAAGTTAAATTTGTGACCGATTTAGGTGTAGGCGGCCTCTTGTGATAATTCGTCACTCTGTCGCACAGCCACCCATCTATCCGGCCCTCACTGCAATCGTAAATTCACTTCATGCATCAGCCTGGTCAGTCACTTGCGAATCCATCGCACAAAGACTGCGGAACCAGCGCCTGGGGCCCCGACATATAA